CCCTAAGAATTGAATGCAGGGTGCTTACTACACATGCAGAAGCATGTCAGTCTCTGAGGAGATCCACGTTGGGAGGAGGGTACAGCCCCAGACTCCTGTGGAATTTCACAGAGCACAGTGAGATCCTCCCAGACAGGTGGGGGCAGGGGACGGTGTGCAGACCACATGGAGTGGGCCCTGGATGGCTCCCCGCGTATGAGCTCAGCCCCTCAAGAGCGAGGGCCCCACCTGCCTCTGTGCAGCCTGGGCGAGTGCCTGACCTCCCTGAATCTGTCCTCGGGCCACTGGGTTGTGGGGAGGAAGAAACAAGGCTGGGAAAGCCTCTGGCCACTCCACAGACCTCAGAATGGAGTGAGTGAGAAGGAGCCAGAACAGCTGTCCCAAATAAATCAGGGACAGAAAAGCAAGAGGACCAGCCACTTGCTAAGTGTCCACCACAGGCTCAATTCCAGGCATCTAGTTCCATCGGGCATGGGGCTTACAGATCCAGGAGCAGCCAGGAGCCTGGCTGGGAAATGGGGAAGTGACCGTCAGTCCCAGAGAACAAGAACATTGGAAGGAGAAGCTCCTTTGAAATGGTGACAGCTGCTGAATTCTCAGCCCACAAATGCCATCCTCATCCTCATCCAGCTCCAGATGCCGGGAAGGGAGGGAATTCCCTTCTCACAAGCACCTGTTATGTGCAGATGTTGTACAAATGTCTGTTTTCCTCCTAATGCTTCTGCAAGGGAGATGGTAGATGTTCCCATTTGACAGAGGGGAAGACTGAGGTTCAGCAAAGGAAGTCACAAGGTCAAGTTCACCTGGCCAGGGAGATAGAGGAAGTGGATGGAAACACCAAGAGAGCACCTGCTGTGTCACATGCCTTGGCTACGCAGGCAGTGGGAACTCGTATCCAGACCCCCAAAAACCACCCTGTGAAATACCTGATCCAAAATGAGGAAACATGTTCAGAGAGTTTCCTCACTGGGATCACCTGGCCAGGTCAGGGCAGAGTAGGCACTGGAGGCCAACTCTGCTCCTTCCAACTTCCCAGGGCTGCTGGGAGGCAGGAGGGGGAAGAGATGGGGCCAATAATGGCTAATAACAGCAAATACTCACATAGTGGCTGTTTTCTATCAAGCACTGATCTAAGCAATTTATGCCTATGAACATATTTAATCTTTGCTATATTAATCCCAGGGAGATAGGGCCAGTGCAATTATTATACCCATTTTAAAGGGGAGGAAACTCAGGTACCAGGAGGCAGCTGGGGTGGGATGCTGCCTCTTTGTTGTAGGAAGGGCTGGATGTTGGGGTGATGGAGGAGCTGCTTTGTCTCAGAGCCAGGGCCAGACCTGGGGTTCAGCAGGTGTTCCCCCACCCAGAGTGACTCTGGCCCTATCCAGGGTGCTGGTCTGCAGTTCCTCAGATGGCCACTAGATGGCGGGACCGCCCAGGCAGTGAGGACCTGCTGGCCAGGGAAGTCGGGGCATCTTCCCCGGGGACTGTCAGCCCCTTCCTGGCCACCCACCTCCAGCTCCCCAAAGAAGTCAGGCGAATGAGGCCTGCTGTGGTTTCGGAGGGTCAGGCTGAGGTGCAGGCCATGGTCTGGGGCTGGGGCAAGGCCCAGCTGGCAGTGGGAATGCAGCAGGAGCCCACCCCAGCCCAGGATGTGCTCCCTGGAGACCAAGAGGGCCTGGGACGAGAGAATCTGGGTGTCAGGCAGGTACAGGAGGTGGCAGCTTCCTCTCTTCACCATCCCCTGCGCCAGGGGTGCAGCAGCAGCTGTCACCTCTCAGCCTCCACATCTGCTCCTGCCCCAGCTGCCCTCTAAGAAACACAAATCAGGGCCGGGTGTGGTGGCTCACACCTGTAATCTCAGCACTTTGGGAGGCTGAAGCAGGTGGATCACAAGGTCAGGAGTTCAAGACCAGCCTGACCAACATGGTGAAACCCTGATTCAAAACCCTGATCTCTACTAAAAATACAAAACTTAGCTGGGCATGGTGGTACTCACCTATAATCCCAACTACTCAGGAGGCTGAGGCAGGAGAATCACTTGAACCCAGAAGGTGGAGGTTGCAGTGAGCTGAGATGGCACCACTGCTCTCCAGTCTGGGCGACAGAGTGAGACTCTTTGTCTCAGGGGAAAAAAAACAAACAGATGTTGTCCCCTGCACTTAGAAGAGAAGCCGGCCTCTGGCACGGCCTGTGGCCTACTTCATCTTCCCAACCTCACCTCCCTTGCTCCCTCCATAAGGGCTGCCACACGTTCCTCAGGGCAAAGTCCTGCCTCAGGCCCCTTCCCTCTGCAGGGCTTACCCTCACCAGTGAGGTCCGTTTTCCAACACCCTGCTCCCTCTTCCCTGCTTCCTTCTTGCACAGCATTTACCACGCCCTGACCACAGACCATGCAGCTCTCATTTGCTGTATCTTCCTGGCCCTGCTGGAATGCACCACCCAGGAGGCCGGCACTGGGGCTGTCTCTTTCACTACCCAGCCCCTGCACCTAGAGCACAGCCTGGCATAGGTGAAACACACACATGTTTTCTGAATGAACAGAATAGATAAGGTGTGGGAAACTATGGTTCAGGGCCAAATCTGGCTCACTGCCCACTCTTGTAAATACTGGCATACAGCCATATGCATTCACTTACGTATCATCTATAGCTCTTTTCCCAAGACAGTGGTAGAGTTGGTAGCTGCAGCAGAGACTGGATCATTCATAAAGCCTAAAATATTTACTATCTGTTCCTTTTCAGAAGAGTATGGGTCCCTGGGATGGATGGATGGATGGATGGATGGATGGATGGATGGATGGTGGATGGATGGATGGATGGATGGTAGAGGGATGCAGGGATGCAAGGGGGTGAGGGTGGGAGGGCAGAAATAGGGGGATGGATGGAAGATGGGAAGGAGAATGGAAGGATGGGTGAATGAATGGGTAGATGGGTGGGTGGGTGGATAGAAGAACCAATCAACCAGCTACCAACCCCAGGAGGGGAAAGGGGTTGAGGAAAAGGGGTCCCAATACCTCTCTTCTGAGGCAAGCATGACAACAGCAACTCTTTCTGTGCCAGGCACCAAGGCTCAGCATTCCTGCATCACATCTCTCTTAACTCTCACCATCACCTACATCCTGGAACCTGCTGCTGCTTTCATTCCTCAGATGAAACACTGGAGGCTCAGAGAGGAGATGCGCACTGCCCAGTCACCCAGCAGGCAAATGGCAGAGCCACCATGCTGGCGTCTGGCTCACACCCCTCCATTCTGTGGGCACCACCCTCCCTCCTGCCCCCTCACCATGGGTCCCTGGTCTTCCAGCTTCCCCTTTCCCCAGGGCAGACTCACCCTGGGCAGGTCAGAGCCCCAGGTGGAGGGAGTGCTGCAGCCAGTGTGCGTAGTCAGTCTGTACTTCTCCCCGGAAGCTCTGCGGGGTACAAGAGGCCCCGAGGATGTGCTCCAGCGTGGCCTCCACGATGATCTTGTCTGGCTGAGATGGCTGATGCCTCTGGAATGAGAGGGCCCAAGTGTCAGGGGGTCATCACATAAGAGAATGCCCATGGCCAGCTGCAGGTGGAGACCCTCACGTAGCAAGAGCACGTGCCAGGAACCCACCGTCAGAGCCCTCATCAGAAGCATCTGGATAAAAAACCCGCCTCATCCCAAACACCCAGACTCAGCATTTCCAAAAACAGAAAGCAATCCTGCACCTCACTGCAGCCTCCAGGGCCAGCAGGATCTGTCCGTGCCCATCTGACTGCATCTCCCTGTCACCCACCCCTGCCAATCACTCTACCCCTGTCTTATTCCCCCTCCAGCCCTCCCCAAAGCACCAGGCTCCTTCCCGCCACTAGCTCCCCGACCCATCTGCCCAGTCACTCTCAATCTCATTTCCTCTCTGTTTTTTTCTGAGAGGGAGTCTCATATCCTCTTTACTTTTTTTCCAGTCACCCAGGCTGGAGTGCAATGGCATGATTTTGGCTCACTGCAACCTCTGCCTCTCAGGCTCAAGCAATTCTCCTGCCTCAGCCTCCCAAGTAGCTGAGATTGCAGGTGTGTACCACTATGCCTGGCTAATTTTTTGTATTTTTAGTAGAGACAGGTTTTGCCACGTTGGCTAGGCTGGTCTCAAACTCCAGACCTCAAGTGATCTGCCTGCCTTGACCTTCCAGAGTGCTGGGATTACAGGCGTGAGCCACGGTGCCTGGCCCCTCTTTAATGCTTCATGTTGCTTACGGCACCTTCTGATTTTTAAATTCACTCCTTGGCTTGAATTCTGGAGAGCGTCTTTTCCCTGCACACAGCTGGCCTATTGTCCTCCCTTTCACAGATGGAAAAACCTAAGGCTCAGGGAGGTGATGGGAGATGCCAGAAGCCACCCAGCCAGACGGGGCACCCAGCTGCCTCACTCAGTCCCCAAAGCTACTGCTAAACAAACAACTCTAAGGGATGAATTGGAGATGCCTGGACCTGTTTCCCACGTTAAAATGTGAGCTGTCTTCAAACACTGCCTGGTATACAGTAGGTGTTTAATGAGGTATTGATAAAAGAACAACTGAATGAAGGACCCTGGAGATCCCAGGCTTCAGGGAGCTATGATTCTGGAGAAGTCCTTGTCACTGATGAACACAGTCTCCTTCTCCTACCTGAGGTGCCCAGCCCCCCAGGTTCAGCCATGTCCTAACTCCTGCCCCTGCCAGGGTGCCCGGGACATCCTCGCTCACCTGCTGGCTCTGCCTGCCACTCCTGCTCTCAGCAAGGCCGCTGGCCTCGGCTTGCTGCCAGGAGACATTGAATGGGTGAGCCAGGGCCAGGCGGGCAGCCAGCTCACTCTTCCCCAACCATAGGGAGGAGGAGGCCAGCACCTGGGGAGGGGGACAGACTCAGCCAGGGGCATTCCCCAGACAGGCTGCACCTCTTTCCCACCCGCCCAGACCACCTTCTCCATCAAGGTCAAGGCTGCAAGGGCAGGTGGCTTTGAGCACAAACCCAGCCCTGTGCAAGACCCTGGGAGAGCTCAGCCCATTTCTCAGAGGAGGACATTGAGGCTTGGAGAGGGGCAGATGGAGCAAACACATGACAGAGATGAAACTGGAGGTCACCCTCCTCTTCCACTGTCTTCCCATAGCTCTCTGGCTCTGGGCCAGTCATGACGCCTCTAAGTCCTTCAATTTCGTCATCTGAACACCGGGCTATTAATAGCACCGAGCAGATGGGAGGCTGAGGTGTGGGTTTACACAGCACCTACCACGGGATAAGCATTCACGGCCTGTCAGCCCTGCCACTGCCGTGACTGTCAAGGTGTTGTGGGGACCCACGTCTCTGCTGCCCTTCCAGAAAGACTGTGGAACATGATACAGCCTTGTCAGCCCCAGGTAAGACTCCTTGGGCAGGGGAGGGCCCCAAGGACCCCGCTCAGCCTGCAGGGTGGAGTTCAGCTCTGCCCCAGGGTCATCTGGCCCTGACACCTACCTGGTCCCTGCCATCCCAGCCGACAACCAGGCCATCCCAGTGGCTGCCTCCCGAATTCTCTGAGGACAGGTGGAGGCTGCAGTGTCATGGCAGGGGGAGGGGCAGCAGGTGGGTGAACTCCACTGGGCAGGTGAGTACACATACAAAGCGTAGGCCATGTGAGCTGAGGTCAGCAGCTCCAGGCCCAGGGGGTGTTCAGGGGACCCTCAGTGGATACCGCTGCCAGCTCAGGCAGGTGGCCACTTGGGGGTCACACACCCAGATAATTTTCACAAAATTTGGAAGCTACGCGTTCACTTTGTCACCATTACTACTTGATACCCTGCACTGTCCCTGTGGGAGCCCCCGTTACAATGAGACTTCATGACTCCTCCCCAGCCCTTGGACCTGGGCTGGCCTCGTGATGTGCTAATGGAATTTAGTGAAGTTGACTGAGTGCCAGTTCTAAGCCCAGCCCTTAAGACACCTTGCCCTGCTTCCTCCCTCGAAGCCCTGCCCAGCCACAGGAGAACAAACCTGCTCGCTTGTGGGCTGGTGCCACCTGGGGTTGGAGGGAGCCTGGTTTCAGCTCAGGATGTCGAAGCACAGCTGACAGCCAGCCCCCGAGCAGGTCAGAGAGCCTAGCCAATGCCAGCAGAGCCGCCTGCTCACCCTGCAGCTGACCTTGAACATGCAGAAGACCAGAAAAGCTGCCCAGGTAACCCACAGCCTCGAGAGCAAAGAGCAGCGCTTGCTTTATGCCGCTGAGTTTCGGAGCAGTTTGTTACCATCTTGAATCAGGAGCTATGGGTGCGGCCCCAACCCCCAGCAACCTGCATCACTCTTGGGGCCTCACATGCATGGGTGACCTGCGCCCCCTCAGAACCCCCACACCCCCATGCCTCCCAGTCCTATGCCTCCTTCCATCTTGGGGTATGACAGGTGCACCCCATAGCTGAGTCCTCACAACAGTCTCCACATCCTGGGTCTTCTTCCTTTGTCCCCCAGGTGAGTCAAGCTGCCCTGACCTCCTGCCTCACTTGACCCCACCTCCTGAGGCCCCTGCACAGTCCTGCTTTCCCAGACTCCTACAACAGAAGGCTGCCCGGAGGCCCTTTTCACTGTGGTGAGCTCTGAGCTCTGTACAAAGGGCACCCTGTTCAGATGGGCTGCAGGGAGCCGTACCCAGAGACACTGGCACTGGCTGGTTCTCAGGGCATCACCCAGTCATTGGTTCTGGGGAAGCTGACCACATGCAGGGCTGGAAGCCTTTTCCCTGCCACCCACTGACCCACGACCTGCAACGCTGTGACCACAGTGTGGGGATGCAGGCTGTGAGGCTCACCAAGGGTGGCACAAATACACACACACACACTCACACACATGCACACACACAAGCTCAAATACAGTCATGCTCAAAGGCACACCCATGCACACACATGCATGCACACGCACATGCTCAAATACAGTCATGCCAACACATGCACACCGGCATACACACATGCACACACACATGCACGCATGTGCACATACATGCACACATACAAAGCATACACATGTGCATACACATACATGCACAGGCACATGCTCAAATACAAGCACATGCTCAAATACAAGCACACACACATGCATGCACAGATGCAGGCATGCACACATACGCACACACATGCACATGCTCAAATACAGTCATGCCAACACATGCACACCGGCATACACACATGCACACATACATGCACACACAGCATACACACGTGCATACACACACATGCATACAAACACATGCAGACATACATGCACACTGCATTGGCTTGTTGAGGACCTGCTCATTTCCTCTGCCTTCCAGGGCACACGTGGCAAACATGACACTTGGAGTATTCCATCAGGCCACCTGGCAAGCCGTGCCCCGGACTGGGGTCTGCATTCTGTCTCCGCACCTGGCAGGTCGGGGGTCGGGCTCTTCTCTGTGCCCAGCGGGTTTCTCACACAGAAACTGACAGTCTACGTGGCTGCACAGGCTATGAATGACAACCCCTTCCAGGGATGCCTGTTCTTGGAGGACCCCGGGGCTCACAGCTGCCATCAGGGCTGCATTGGCACTCACCTCTCCTGGCACCAGAATTGCCCAGGGATGCCACCCCTCCCATGCCTTGGCCCGTTCTCCCTGCCCGGTTGCACTCAGGATAAATCCCAGCTCCTGCGTGACCCGGGTCCCCCAAGCCTCCTGCCTCACCTCCTCCCTTCTCCCCACTCCGGCCACACTGGCCTCCCTGATGCTGCTCCACACGCAAATCTCACTTCCACCCAGGGCCTTCCACCTGAAGTGCCTCTGCTCAGCCTCAGCACCTCAGCCAGCTCCTTCTTATCCCTCAGATCTCAGCTTGGAAGTCACCTCCTCTAAGAGGCCTTCCCAGACCTCATTACCTAAAGGAGCCCCACACCCCACACAGACCCTGATTGCTCTCACAGTCTTTCCCATGTGGGGAAATGGTCATGTTGAATGTTATTTTGCTTATGTGTGTCCCATTTGCTTATGACTGTCTCCCTGAGGGGGGACACCTGGGCCATCTTGCTTCCCGATGGGTCCCTCGTGCCTAGAATCACACCTGGGATTAGCAGGTCCTCAGTGATGGCTTTTTTTTTTTTTGAGACCAAGTCTCACTCTGTTGCCCAACCTGGAGTGCAGTGTCATGTTCTTGGCTCACTGCAGCCTCTGCCTCCCGGGTTCAAGTGATCCTCCTGCCTCAGCCTCCCAAGTAGCTAGGATTACAGGTGCCCACCACCACACTTGGCTAATTTTTGTATTTTTAGTAGAGATGGGATTTTACCATGTTGGTCAGGCTGGTCTCGAACTCCTAACCTCAGATGATCTACCCACCTTGGCCTCCCAAAGTGCTAGGACTATAGGCGTGAGCCACTGTGCCCAGCCAGGGATGATTTCTTGAGTGACTGGGTCACTGCTGCCCGCATCGCCTCACACACTCACCCTGTAGGCTGAGGTTCCTGAAGGGCATGGGGAGAGGCCCAGAGAGGCTCCCAGTGATGGCCAACACCTGGCCATTCCACAGCACCTCCTGGTGCAGGACACAGGTCCCATGAGCTCGCTTCTATGTGGTCTGCAGGACCAGCTCCCCGGGAAGCGTGCTGAGCTGGAAGAGAATGATGGTGTCACAGGGGAACCTGACACACACTTCTGCCTGGGATGGAAAAGGAGAGAAGTTTGCAGAGGAGGAAAAAGGGAGTATTTGTGGATGATTTCTAGTTTCCTGCATGGCAACCTATGTCAGGGAATCAAAAAGCCAATGCTTCCTAAGGATGAGCTGATAACATAAAGGAGAGGAGTGGGTCAAGGGACTGTGGCCAACTGGAGACAGCGCGGAACAGGCACTTCTCAACTCCGTGGCCAAGCTGTGTGGCTCTGGGTAAGTTTCCAACCTCTCTGAGCCTCACTTTCCTAGACAATGGAGGCAAGAAAGTGTCAACCTCTGCAAGATAATATGAATGGTGCACTCAGCCCAGGGCTAGATCATGGAGAGGAGCTTGTAGGAGCCATGCAATTGGTATTGAGATTTCTCAATCATGTACTGAGCATGTATTATGCTCCGAAGCCAGTGCTGAGGGCCTGAGTACAAAGATAGCCAAGACCCTTATGGGGCTTCCAGGCTGACAGGAACATAGTCACAGGACAGAAAATGATGGGATAAGGATGGTCACAGAGGCATTCAAGGGAGAAAGGAATGCAGAGAAGCAAGCTTGAAGGAATGTAGGAAGCAGGGAAGAGCATTCCAGGCAGATGGAACAGCCTGTGCAAAGGCTCAGAGTGGGTTGCTGTCCTTGCTGGTAGGTATCATAGTCCGAGGGTCACTTGAGGGCACTGCAGGAGGACTGATGGGGTGGGGTTGGAAGTTTCCTTTTTTTTTTTTTTTTGAGTTGGAGTCTTGCTGTGTTATCCAGGCTGGAGCTCAGTGGTGCGATTTCTGCTCATTGTGACTTCCACCTCCCAGGCTCAAGCGATTCTCCTCCCTCAGCCTACTGAGTAGCTGGCACTATAGGCATGTGCCACCATGAACCACCATGCCTGGCTAACTTTTTGTATTTTAGTAGAGATGGGTTTTCACTATGTTGGCCCGGCTGGTCTTGATCTCCTGATCTTGTGATCTGCCTACCTTGGCCTCTCAAAATGCTGGGATTATAGGCGTGAGCCACCATGCCTGGCCTTCCCTTACATTTTTAAATGACTGGCACTTATCATCCATGGCTAGCTCAAGAGCCACCTCCTCAGTAAGCCTTTCCTGGCCACCTAATCTAAATAAGCTCCCTCTTCACTCTCAGTTCCTTCAGTGTGTCTTCTCCATATCATACTACTATCTGGCATATCTGTGTGATTTTGAATAATCTCCTTCACTAGAGTGCACATTTATTGAAAGGAAGGATCGATCAGTTCCATTTTAGGTCACACCCCAGCTTCTAAAATAGTGCCTGGCACCTGGTAGATGCTCAATAAATAATGCAAAAGGAAGAAGGGATGGATACAGACACCAGCTGATAATCTACTCCAGCAATTTTTGTCCATTTCACAGCCTTGCCTGGCCTTCCCTCCAAGGAACCAGAACATTAGGACAATTTATCTTCTTTCAAAGATCTGTCCCAGGAGCGCCACCCCACTCCCACCCTGCATGCCCTGGGCCTGGGCTGTCCTCCATACAGCTGTCCTTCATACAGCTGTTCCAGCTTCATGAAGTTGGTAAGACTGGCCTTAGCAGCTACCAGCTGGGTGCTGATGTGAAAGTGACGCTCTTCCACGCCCAAGGCAAACATGCTCTGAACCTCACCCTTGGGAGTAGTGTATCTGGGTCAGGGGAAAAAAAAAAAAAAAACCACAATAGATCTCCTCATCAGGGATCTGATGGAACATTTAAGCAGATGCTGGCTCTAAACCATGAGCTCTGCCTCCCAAAGCCCCAGGCCCAAGACCCACAGCTTCCTGGGCTGGAGGAACTTTGATGAAGCAAGGGTTGGGAGCCTCAGTTTATGCCATCAAATGTGACCAGGGCAACTATCTTCTCAGGCCCTCCCTGCTATAACACTGACTTGAAAATATCTACCAGCCTGGCACCAGCAGGCAAGAATTCTAGTTGCAGTACTGTTGCAGACCACAGGGGGCAGTCTAGCAGAGAGGACAATGCTTGGGCTTGTGTACACATCAAACACACAGAACTCCAAATGTGGATCCACCATGGAGAGGTGAGTGATCTCCAGCTAGTTCCTTAACCACCCGAGCCTCAGGCTTTTAATCCAAAACACAGAGATAAGAACACCTATTTTATTACAGGTTGCTGTGAAAATTGTATGAAATAATGTGCCAACTTCCAGGCTGGCTGAACAGAATCGCTGGGGGAAACTTACTAAAAATATAGATTCTGGGCTCCCACTTAAAACCTACAAAAATGGAGTCTCTGAGAAGAGGTTCAAGAGCTGGTACTTTTTTGTTTTCTTTTTTGAGATAGAGTCTCGCTCTGTTGCCCAGGCTGGAGTGCAGTGGCACGATCTCAGCTCAATGCAACCACTGCCTCCCGGGTTCAAGTGATCCTCCTACCTCAGCCTCCCAAGTAGCTAAGATTACAGATGTGCCACCATGCCCAGCTAATATTTCTATTCGTATAGAGACAGGGTTTCACCATGTTGGCCAGGCTGGTCTTGAACTCCTGACCTCAGGTGCTCCACCCACCTCAGCCTCCCAAAGTGCTGGGATTGCGGGCTTGAGCCACCACACCTGGCTAAGAGTTGGTACTTTTAATGAGCTCACCAGAGATGCGTCATTATGTTAGCGATAGACACACCTCTCAAAATGTTCAACCTGAATCTTATCTTCAGCAAACAATCTGACAAATCCATATTAGGAGAATGTTTTGCAAAATAACTTCCTGGACACTTCAAAATTGTCAATGCAGGATTTTTTTCTTTTCCTTTTTTGAGACAGGGACAGGGTCTGCTCTGTCATCCAGGCTGAAGTGTACAGTGGTGTGAACACAGCTCACTGCCGCCTCAACCTCCTGGGCTCAAGCAATTCTCTCATACCTCAGCCTCCTGGGTAGCTGAGACTATAGGTACACACCACCATGCCTGGCTAATTTTTTAATTTTTTGTAGAGATGGGGTTTCCCTAGGTTGCCCAGGCTGGTCTTGAACTCCTGAAGTCAAACAATTCTTGGCCTCCCAAAATGTTAGGATTACAAATGTGAGCCACTGTGTCTGGTTGGGATTTTTTTTAAGGTCGTTAATGATAATAAAATGTTTAGGGGAAATTATATTGATATCTACAACTTATTTTGAAATGTATCCAAAAATAAGATGGATGGAGAGCTATGTGATTACGTGAAATAAAATGTGACCAGGAAAATCTAGGCATGTGGGTGTTCACTGTAAAATTACTTCCATTTTTTAGTGTCTCAAAAAATTGTATAATAAAATCTGGGGGAGGGGGCTGGGTGCAGTGGCTCATGCCTGTAATCCCAGCACTGTGGGAAGCCAAGGTGGGCGGATCACTTAAGGTCAGGAGTTTGAGACCAAGCCTGGCCAACATGGTGAAACCCCTTCTCTACTAAAAATGCAAAAATTAGCCAGGCGTGGTAGTGCATGCCTGGAATCCCGGCACTCAGGAGGCTGAGAAAGGAGAATTGCTTGAACCCAGGGGACAGAGGTCACAGTGAGCCGAGATTGCATCACTGCACTCCAACCTGGGTGACAGAGAGAAACTCTGTCTCAAGAAAAGTAAAAAACAAAACAAAACATTGTGTAAGGAAAGGTAAAGGAAGGAGAATGTTCTAGATCAAGAATTGGCTTTTGGGTCAAATATGGCCCACAACCTGATTTTGTAAATAAAGTTTTATTGTAACGCAGCCATGCCTATTCACTTACATATGGTCTATAGCTGCTTTTGTGTTACAATGACAATTCTGAGTGGCTGTAACAGTGATCATACGGCCTGCAACCCCCACATTTTACTTTACAGTTAAAGTCTGTAGACCTCTGTTCTGGCAACTATGCACGCTGTGTGATCTTGGCCTGCATCCCGGATTTAAAACAAAACAGTTTTTTGAAAGAACGTTATTGGGAAAGCTGGGCTGTACATTAAATGAAGGTATACTTCAATGTTCAGTTTCCTGAATGTTATAATTATTGTTAAATCAGAAAATAATCTTGTTACAGAAAAGAGTTGAAGTATTTCAGGGTAAAAAGATGACATCTTCAGAAACATCTCTATATCTTAATTCTTAATAACAGAAAAAATGTGTGTATGGTGATACAAATTTATGTAACATAGATAAGAAATATGGAAAGACATTAACAATTCATCAGTTTTCACTGTCCCACAGTCACTTTTATATAGGTTCAAATGACTCAAAATAAAACTTGGGGAAAAAACTAAGAAGCTCCCTGAATGGAGCCAGGTGTGGTTGTACCACCTGTAGTCCCAGCTATTCTGGAGGCTGAGGCAGGAGGAACACTTGCACCCAGGAGCTTGAGGCTGCAGTGGGCTATGATCACATCACTACACTCCAGCCTGGGTGACAGAGCAAGACCCTGTCCCAAAAAGAAATTTTAAAAATAAAAACTTGGGCCGGGCGGGGTGGCTCACACCTGTAATCCCAGCACTTTGGGAGGCC